TTTAGTCACCTGGCCTAGATCATCCTTACTACTCCAGGGCTTCCCCTCGAGATTCAGGACCCGATCAAATCTATCGTAGGCAGCTCATTTGGCCAAACCTTCCATGAGCCTTTCTTTCTTGAATAACTTCCCCCAGATTGCTCGTCTAAACCACAGAGCGACTGATCTAGTGTTTCACGTTGTTCATTTCCTACTGTTCATGGCGCTTCCCTCCCTCAGAGGTATCACTACCCAGTAGTCCTTGCTACTACTTAATTCTTATCCAGGCCTACTTGAACTAAGCCAAGGAGTCTGAACATCTACTCGCTTTGCTTCTTTCACAAAGCAGAAACATCTCTCGAGTATTCGTCCTTTTCACAGAGTCCGAAGCGGTTACTTATTATAAGACAGACGCCCCCAGGTCGACGCCTCCTCTGCTGCTTCAAGACAGACGAGCCTTAAACTAGCCAGAACTTGCCGCAGGAAAGCAGGTGATCAATCCACTTCCTGACTCGAAGTTCCTTCCCACGGATCCAGAGATCCCTCCAACACTGTGCTAGGGTAGGCCTCAGCACCGGGCTAGCAGCGAAGTGCTGGAAGTCGACCTCTCTTCATTCATCGAATCCGTTCGGACTCCACCGCATAAGAGCGATGTTTCACAACACCAATCAGGTTTTCTCTATGCTACTTATGCCCTACCTCAAAACACAGAACATTCTTTGCATGCTCCCAACTTATCTCAGACCCTCCACGGAACCATCCGCTTCCCCCTTCTCCAGCAAGTGGCTGCAGCAGTCTCCTAAAGTAGGAAGTAGGATCATTTTGTCATTTTACGCAATATTAGAGTTTTCGCCAAACCTCCCAGATCTCTTCAGGGACTGGCTCTACAACCACGTCAGGAGTTCATCCTACTCAGTCTGTTCCTCCACCTTCCGCGTGAACGCCTCCTTTGTTCTTCCTAACATTTCATCCGTCGAAGGGAGATAGTCCAGATTTCGCAAGAAATCTTCGGCACTTGATGCGGGTACAGCACGGGTCAGCAGCTTCAGTGGAACCTTCCCACTGGCCGCTCCCGTCGCTGCTTCACCCAATAGATCCAGCAACATCGCGTGGCGCGGTCCTACAGACTCCACCCTAAACAATGCTGGAAAATTCTTCGGGTCAAAGCTATCTTTTCGCGCGTGCATGTTCCTTACTACCACCAGATCACCAGTAATCAGAGGTGCCTCCAGTGAATGCCCTCTCAGCTTTGTTTGTGCGATTTGGCGAAGCTTCGAATTTTCATCCCCAGTCAGGTTTGACTGTGACAAAATTTCCTCCCGAAACTTATTCGCTGCTTCCAAAAAAGAATCCACGCCCGGCGTTCCTCCGAGCGCCGTTCTCAGAGTCTCCGCAAACGCGTGCCGCGGCTTACAGCCAAACACTAGCTCATACGGCGAGCGATCACCTAACACCTCGAGCGGTGTTGTCCGAGCAATCCAATTTAGGTAGGGAACCAACTCTACCCATTTGGCGTTCTCCGCAAATTTGATCAAAATCTTTCGCAGCGGCTTACGGAGCACTTCAACCAGCCAACTCGCCTGCGGCGAATACGGCATAGTCGGCGCATGATGCACCCCATAGGTCTGCAAATATTTTCCCAGGCTTTCATCCCCAGACTCACCGAACCCTCGATCGGATCGTATCGCAATCGGGTAGCCAACCATACAAAGTGCGTTAGCAGCCAAAGCCTCTGCGGCCTCTTTGCAAGACTTTGTTTCCACTGGAATGAACCAGGAAAACAACGTCGCCGAGTCACGAACCGACAATAAATAATTAAAACCTTTATCCAATTTGAATGGACCCACATGGTCAACGTGCAGCACTCGGAAAAACCCTAGACACTTCTCATATCCTAACGGGGCCTGCGTTGCCTTGGCCGCGTGGGCGATCGTGCAAGCAATGCAATTTTTACAATGCACTTGCACATCCCTCCACATGGTTGTCCAAAACGCCCCTCTATCCAGCAGATGATTATAGGTTTGTCGAGCACCTCCATGCCCCGTCCCCAGCAAGGAATTGTGAGCCAAGAAAAGGCAATACTTCTTCCAACTCACCTCCTTCCCTACTACGGTAGACAGCCAAGCTCCTCCTGCTGGCAAGCACACTACAGCCGTTTCACGATGACGCGCCATCAACAACTTAGTATCCTCGTCAGTCCAATGCTCACACATCCTAGCGGTCGACATACGGGCCTTTCCCAGGTCCCACTTGCGTGCAGCCGCAAGCTCAACCTGTTCCCGGTCCTTTTCCCTGTCGCGCAGTTCACATGCCAAATAAACAGGACCCCACTCCTTACAAACCTTCTGATCCTCCACCAAGCGCTGACGTAGCCCTGCTCCTTGCAGTGAAACTAACGCTGCCACCACGGAGTCTTCCCCTGCAAAAGGGAAATGAAAGATCCTCAACTCCCAATGCTTCCTCAGCCGCAGCTTACAACTTTCCTCATCCCACAGGGATCCGAAAGCTCTCACCGGACCTGCCTGAAGCGAGGCCATGTTCTTTGGGTTCCACATGGCCACTCGGGTCACTTTCTCCGATGTTTCATGCACTTCTATGCACAAATTCTCATCATTCGCAGTCTCGCGGATCATCGTAGCCTCGTCACTAATGACTGGCAATGATGGAAATAAAATCCGGAAAGATTCCACTCCATCGCATTTTCTAATAAACTGCTCGCGAACCTCCTTTGAAATCTTCACGCATTCCGGCGCGGTTAAGAATTCAGTCACATCAGGGGCTTCCCCTCCTATCACGCCTTCACCACAGAGGCACCGACATAATGAAGCGGAAACCCTCCCTATCCGACAATTCCGAATTTCTTTGAAGTTCGTACAAGGAGCAGAATCCAAAAAACAGGCTCTAGTATCCCAAGAGGCTGAGATAGTGAAGAGATCCGTCGCAACCTTTTTCACCACGTCCGCCCTCTCAGGCTTTCGAAAAAGATGAAAATACTCTTGATGAACCACGGACCTCCCATTCACAATTCTTTCTCCTAATCGTCTAGCCGCCGCTGTTTCGGCTTCTTGCATCAATTCCTTCAAACGATCCCAAGCTTTGCCATAAGCTTGCTTAAGCGTCATGCTCGGAGTAATTTTAATCCATTCCCGGTCCGTTGACCGACCATCCATCACACCGGAGACCACTACGTTATCTCCTCTCTCATCAGTCTTCCGATACAACCGCCGAGGAAGGAAAGTCCCCCGATAGCGCTCGGTTACTGCCGAGGGTCGCAACTGATCTCCCATTGCTTTGAGCATCGTCTTCAGCCGTCGCTTTTGACGTGATGCCCCTAACTTTTCAATAAATACTTCCCAGGTTGCCGACCTTGGACTTAGTACGGAAGCCGTTTCCAGCCATCCGTGGTCCGCCGTGGAATTTACCCGCAGCAAAACCCAGTAGACTCCTAGATCGTAAAGGCTCGGGCAGGTTGCATATTGACATTCTAGCTTCTCGGCGTTTTTCACGCATAACGGCATCAACCGCCGAAGCCCTTGGCTAACTCCTTCTCCCTCATTCAATCTCCCTCCGGGAAACCGAGTAGGAATATCTTCAAAAATTTCGTCATCCTGCGCATCTGAAATTAACACCTTCCCACTTGGGGAAACCACCACCGCACAAACCTGTTTCTGTTTCGAGGGCGTCGAACCCTCCCCACTCCTTTCTAGGTCAGGGAGGTCTGAGTCTTCATCTAGTAACGACGAACTCGCGTTACATGGTTGATCGGGAACGCCATCCCCCTGATACAAATGGAATCCTGCTCCATCCTGCAACATCATGCATTCGCCTTCATCGCACATCGTACACATTAACGATTAACTGAGAGGGATTCTGCAACTCCTGGTCTCCATTCTTCTCCCCGCTTTCTTTCATACTCACGTCCTTCTTAATCTTAATTCCAATGTACTTCGCCCCCACATCACTGCCTACCACTTGATCCGATGCCAGAGCACTCGGCAAGTGATCACGCGGGTCCTCAAAGTCTTCACTTGGGTGAACGGGTGGCAAAAAATGATCCACCTCCAGCAACCTTTTCCTTTCTGACATCATCTGGCCAAGTTGCTCTGGTTGGCAGAAGATAAACTGCACTAGAGAACGAATCCGCGGCAACATAAAAGAAAGATTATCAATCTCCTTCAGAGCCGGATCCTCCTCAGACTTCATCCGCGAAAGCGCGTCCGCAATGACGTTCGCTTCCCCTTTCAAATATACTCGCTTCCCAGTAGAAAGCGGTCTAGCAATGAGATAAAACCATCGTAAGACCTTACCTCCGGTAGTTCTATTGGCACACAGTGAGCTGAGCTCTTTCGTGCCCAAATTCTGATGATCCGTGTACAGGATCCACTTCGAGCCCCGAGTCAGCTCATAGCCCGACTTTATAAAGTCCACTATGGCAAATAATTCGCGCTCTAAGGTAGACCGCTGCCTCTGCGTTTTGTCAAACGAATGCGTAGAACATTTCCACACTCGCAGTTTGCCTTCAGCTGTTCGCTGACAAATTGCCCAGGCATAGCGATACTGCGAGGCGTCCGTGAACGCCTCGAATGGCCGCTGCCAAGTATTTGCTGCTTCGTAGTTTGGCTTAATCAGAGTCGCACTCTTTGAGGCCACGTCCTTTAATGCCTGAAAAGCGGCTACTGCCCGCTCATCTGAGGCAAACTCACTAAAAGGCCTTTTCTTGAGTTCGTACTCCTTCAAGGGTGCCGCGACATTCTGTAGCTCGCTCGTGTAACATTGCAGATACCGCACCACATGAACGAACGAAGTCAAATCTTCTTTGTTTGTGGGAAGAGGCCAATTCTGAATCTGGAATAACTTTGCCGGACTAGGGTGCGTCCCGGCTTCGTCAATGATATGCCCTAGCGCTTCAATCTTCGGAGCACCAATAAAAGTCGTAGTCAGCGAGAGTCGGGCCCCACTTTTCTCACAACATTGGAATACCCTCTCTAGTCGCGACGTGAATTCTTCCATTGAGTTCTCCCCATAGCCGATGTCATCTATAAATACTCCACACTCATGCCCAAACGCCGCCTCAGTTTGAGCTTGGAACCACCCTGGCGCGGGACTTGGTCCTAACGTCAATCGCGTCGGCAAGTACGCCCCAGAATGGGTCACCACCGCCAGGAGACGTTTCGTCTGCACATCGAGTCTCGCTAGATTGTAGGCCAGCGACAAATCCGACCCAAAGTAAAACTCTTTCCCTTTTAGATTGTGGAAAGTCTTTGCTTGGTTAGGAGCCGGCAACGCAATCGGCGTCAATGCCTCGTTACACTTCCTGTAATCCACCACAATCCTTCCAATCACGGAATTCTTGCGAGGTGCTAAAAAAGCAGGACTACAAAAAATTGGTCGACTTTCATCAGACCCATCCCACTTTTCAAACGACCCGTCGTCGAGCTGAGTCTGGAACAAAAAATCCAAGCACTTCTTTCCGTAAGCGCTCAACTGCAACGGCTGAGGTAAACCCCGATGCGTCACCCTGTTAGGATTATAATCGAAGTGGCGCACCGTTTTCAACGAAGGGGACGGACATCCTTCATCGTAGAAGAAATGCGCACTCCGTTCAATCGTAGCCAACAGCGCTGCTTTACTTTCTTCAGGCATATGGTCGAACTCCTTTCCTTGCACTCTAAAGACTTGCGTGACGTTCTCCGTCCACTCAACAGACGGCACGTCCCATTTTCTGTTGCGCTGTCTTTTGGTACTTCGATCCTGTATTTCCTTGTCTAAGTCCCCGAAGTCTTTCGGCTTCGTCTTATTTTTATATTTTGACACGTTCAAGATTGCTTCGATCTTTCGAATACCTTCCCACTCTTGAAGCAGAGTACTCAAATGCTTTACATCCCTGGCCTCCGGTAGTTGTTCCGAGAAGACCTTCATCTTACTCGTCGCTCCGGCTGCCAAAGTGTTCTCAAAGTCCTTTCGTCCTTCTTTTTTCTCGTTTTCCTTCTTCCATTTGTACCAATCCCATCGGACGCTACTCACGTCGACGGTGGTATCAGAAAAATTGTAGACCTCTTTATCCCACTCACAGACCTTCTCCGTCTCTTTTCCAAACTGGCCCTGTAATCGCCAAACATCAGCACATACTCGACTTCCTAAACTCGCCTCACCTTCGTCATATGTAATTCCATGAATTGCTCCTACAGGGGCTTCGCCTCCCTTTCCCAGCCAAGGCTGGGCCAGCAGAGGCCAGCATCCCTAGTCTGTCAATAATGCTCCAACTGTTATTGCAGTTTTCCAGTTTTCGAGAGGTTTGGGCGTACTTTCTTTTTCGAATTTTTTAATTTCAAGACTCGTTTGCAGGAGGGCATCATCACCCCCCTCGCCCCCTGACAGCGGCTTCGAAGAATCTGCTGTTACTCGACTCATCAGATTACAAGCTCGCAGTGGGGCCAGTGGCTGGATCTTCAAATGCTCTCTCGTCAATGTCACTTGCCGATCCTTGTTCCTGTGATTAAAAATCTCAATCGGGTGCTCGGTGTCCTCCGATTCCGATCCCGTGATGAGAACCGGTAAAAATAAAATACCGTCTTTCGTGGCCTTTAGACTTGGTTGCGCCACCGCTGTAGTATTCTCATGATTAATCGGCGGGCGAACAAACGTCGCAGATACCGACGCGAAGGCCGCCACATGGGCTAACCTTGTAAAGGCGTTCATCACAGGCTTCTTTGTTGTACTATTATACTCCACAACTGGCACTCGTTCGCCAAGCAACTCTATCTCGCGGCTACCTTCTCGCAGCGGCGCATAGTTAATCCCAAGCTGATGCACTGCTGTATCCCCGGCGACCAACGCTCCGGGTGTGTTCAGTCCCTCTACAATAAGAAGCTCTCGCTTCAAATCCAGGACCTTCCCACTTCGAGTGGAAATTTGCAAGCACAAAATGCACTCCCGACCCGCTGTATGGGAAAAAGACTCTCTTCCAAAAGAAATTTCCACTGGCGGGCAAGGCATAGGTGGAGACACGAAGTCACTTACATCCTTCCGTGCTCTCAGACGTTCGCAACTTGCCTTGTCAGTCACATCGTACCCCAGCCACGCCCCCGGGTCTAAATATAGAGGAATTGGAAGGGCCTTGCCTAGGAAGCCCGCAATATAAATTGGGGCTCGCCGTTCTTCTTTCGGTCGTCTTGCTGTGCTTTCCCATGCAGAATTCATCATGGACACTACTCCGTTCTTTCTTAGGAACCTTTCGCGTACTTTCGAAACCATGCGGGGAACTGTGTCTTCAGTCAACCCCAAACGTTCCGACACGTAGGCTTCTCCTATTCTTAATATTAACTTAAGTAAACCAAAATTCCAATTCGGATAAACAGCCAACAGAAGGAGCTCGGATCTTTATCCTCACCCAATTTGCAGGCCTCGGATGTTTCCATCCGATTTATCGAAGGGGTTAATGGCACGTTTGCCCACATCTCCCAATCGAGATCGTTCATTGTCATTTCCTCCCCTCCTCCTGTCGACGTTTCCGTCGCGGAAGGATCGAGGTTCATTTGGTTGGCCCGCCGCGGGGGCGGGGCGGGTCTCCTCTTAGCGAAAGCCACTTTTTTCACTGGAGGCCCCGTCTTCTTTGACTTCAAGTCTTTCTGAGCAAATCTCTTTGAATTCAGTTTATTAGATTTCACAAAGGCAGGTGGATGAAACAAACGACGTTCTCTCTCCGGCACAAACTTAGACGTCGGGTTCTTCCCGTCGCGCTTCAATTCCAGGAGCTCTTTTCCCAGCCCTGCTTGAAAGTCCGGCTTCCGAAATGGCGGATGATGCGGAACGCCCTTAGCGTCCACCAAAACATCGCAAAAGATTAACTTTGTTTTTTCGTCTCTCTTTAACAGCCTCCCGGCTGCACGAGCCAGCAAATTCGGACAGCAGATCTGTCCTGCCTTATTCACTGGATGTTTCCTTTTGTTGCACGCGGGTAGTGGACAAGTTTGAGGCTCCTTATTCCAATCTACATCCGCAAGGGACGCGTAGTGCAGTCCTCTCATGTGGTTCGGATCCCCACAGAGATGCCACTTTTTCTTTGTTTCATCCTGATACTCTTCACAAGGCTGGCACATCACCAATTTCGCAGAACGATCTCCTCGCGGATAAAGTTCCATCTTGTTCAACAGATTCTCTTCTGGACCCGGCTCAGGGGCGAAATCTGAATCCATCTGATTGAAGAAACCAGGCTCCGGCTCATACGAGCCATCCCCCGAAAATCTTGACTCGCTTGCTGTTGCTTTCGCGTTAGCTCTCGCCAACGCATACTCACACGCAGAGTCCAAGGATGTGTACTCAATTCCTCTTTTGCCAATCGTATTCTCTTCGAACGAGCGTGCGTATTCCTGTGGAATCCGTTGCAGAAAATGCCGCAAGAACCGTCTTAGTTCCTGGGACGTTCCCACAATGTCAGACGTCTGAAACACCTGACCGCTCTTTTGAGTCAGCCTCTCAGCCATCAACTCGCGGAATTTGTTCACGTACTGGGTACAGAAAATTCCTACCGAAATTCCAGTGCCATCCTTGCAGACAAGACTGAACGTCTGCACTTCCAGCTCTTCTTGAACAATAATTGGTCTGAGGCCTGCCTGTTTCGAAAACTGTTCCCTAAAGCTGACCAAACAGGCCGCTGCACTCATGTCACGGGAGAGGTTGGAAAACCGATTAGCTTCCGCCTCCACGGCATCCACCACATTACTTGCAACGCCCATAGCCTTCATGGCTCCGCTTTTCACCGCTTGCCAACCATGCGAAGGGGCTTGAAGATGTTCTAGGCGAAGCCGGTCAAACGTTTGCCTGGCCGCCAGCGCCGCTCTGACAGAGTAAGTCTCCAGATTCAAGGGAGTAGCACTCAATTTGGAGAGGGAATCGCTCCCATTGAGTCTCGAATTATCCACCAAAAGCAAACCTATTTCAAATGAATTCGCATCAGTCGGTCGCACTACCACCATCTTGTCTTCAACTTTGTGAAATCCAGCATTTCTAAATGTCCTTGCATTTCCTGTGCACAAACATATCTCTGGAATACGCTCTCACTTTCAGGCATCTTTGCAGTCCTATCCAAACAAATTCCTAATCCAGTGGACTTCGTCACAGTATCCAAAATTGGACAAACCCTGCGAGTTCTAAATCCTGTCAAGTTCAGTTTCTTCTGTGCCTCTTTCTCCAGGGTAGTTGTACCTTGATTCGGCACGGTTTCAATGAACGCGCTCCCCGTCCAAGGTTGACCAAGTCCTAGTCCATGACCTTGTCCATCAAAGACCGACGGCAACTTGTAAGCGGGTGGCGCGTCTCCTTCTGGTTCATCCGTCGTTTCCCCAACTTCCTGCTGTCGGGATTTCGCCTGGTACATTTCAAATAGCAAAATACCAAGTCCAACCAGCATGCTCAAATGCGCAACCAAGTTGGCGACTTGATCACACAGTCGTTGCCATTGGACCTTTGTCAACAGCCAATAAGCACCTTCCTCATATTCCTCATAATGTTCATAATTGTTGCCGCCTCCGTCACCAGGCGCCCCCGGAGGGTTGCCCGGCGGTTTGCCGTACCGGTAATACACCGGACCCGGTCGAGCCATCGAGATAAACCCGAGGATTGCTGTAACGACCCCAGAGGTCACGAGCACGACAGCGCTCGACATACCGCCACAAGTGACGGGCGAGCGAGTGACTGTGGTCATCCTGTAAGTTTTTTCGCTCAAAACCCTCTCTCAAACCCTGCTAGAGTGGTGGTGGTTTTTTGGGAAAAGACAAAAGGCAATCGCCAAATAAATGTTAATGCTTATTTCTGCTAACATCATTCAGTCTGGTTGGTTCTACTTCTTTTCAAACAATTTCAGGAAAAAGAAGCACAGCTGTCAACTTCAACTACACTACTGCAACAGCATGCTCTTGGTCGAATTCACCCAACCTTCGGCGCACTATTCACTACTTCCAACCAAAAAAGCCTTCTATTCTAATTAAACAAAAAAAAAAAACATGGAACAGTCTCTCTTTCTTGATCCTTCCACTGCGTGGAGC